GCGAAGGTAGACGGCGGGATGAGGAAGACGAACAGGAGCAGGAGCAAAAGCAGAAGCGGGAGCGGGAGTGGGAGCGGGAGGATGAAGAGGAGCAGGAGCGCGGACGGGGGAGAGAGAGAGAGAAAGAGGTTACGAGGAGACGAGGGCCGGAAGAGAGGGCGAGCAGAGGGGGAGGATGGGGGAGACGGAGGGGGCGCGAAGAGGAAGAGGAGGAGGGGCGAGGACCAGGAGCCAGAGGAACGAGGGCCGCGGTGGCTGCGGCCACCAGGGCGGGGGCAGCGCGAGCCGGAGAGACCCGACGAGGCGGCCGGGGAGAGCGCTGCTCGCGCCGGCCCGCGCGCCGCGGGTGCCGCGCCGAGCGACGCGCCGCGCGTGCGCGCAGCACGCCGCGCGCCGCGGGGCGCAGCGGCAGGCGCCGCCCCGCGGCTGCGCCCGCAAGGGGCGGGGCGCGGCCCCCGCGCGCCCGCGATGGGGGCGCCCCCGCGGGGCCGAATTCTGCGCCGCCCGGGGCGCGGCAGGTCTGCGCGGTCCCTCCGCCCCGGGCCCTCCCGCCGCCGCCCGCCCTTCGGGGGCGGCCAAGAGGGGGGCGTCCAGGAGGGGGGGGGGGCAGATCATGACGGGCGGCACGTGCGCGGCCCAGCGGTGGGGCCAGGGACGCAATGAAATAGGAAGAGGGGACATGAAATCTGAGGAAATATCATGGCCCACGCCATGATATCCACCCCCCCCTAGTCATCACCCCCCTCTTTGCCGGCCCCCGACTCCCGCCGCCGCCCACCCTGGCGGGCTGCTCTCTCGCAAGACGAAGCCGGGACGACGACAAATCCCACCAGCCCTCTGGGCGTGGGTGGTCTAGGGAGATTCCGCTTCCAACCCCCTTCTTCCCCTTAGGGGAAGGGCTCATCCCTGTTCCTTACCTATATACACCCCCTCCCCCACCCGGCTGGCGGTTTATTGGGAACCATGCCGACTCCATGCGGGCCCGCCCCCCAGCATCCCTGTCAACAAAAAAATGCAAGCCACACTCTGCCTCCACATTTGAAGCATGCGCGACCAACCTGATATGGCCCCCCCCACCATCCCTGTCAAAAACAATGCAAAGTACACTTTGGGGCAAAGTCTTGAGTCCTGTTCGTGAGGCCCTCGAACACTTTGTATTGTTTTTGACAAGGACGGCGGGGTTGCCAGCATATTCCCTGCTGCGCGCAGGGCTACCATCCCTGACAGGAAACAATACAACATGCACCTCGCGGCTAAATCTGGATCATGCGCGGCCATCCCGCGATCACTGTCACATGGTTTTTGACAGGGACTGCGGGGGTGGTGGCGCGTGGCCTGCTGCGCGCAGGCCCACCAAACGCAATGACGGGCATCGGTCTTCGACAAGAGTGGCGGGGGCCCACATGTTCCCCGATGCGTGCCGTCACGTGCGCAGGCGCACCTGACGGACGCACTCTGCACGTGCCCCGAACATGGCGCACCTGGCGCGGCCGCAGTGTGCGGCACACCTGGCGCAATCTGAGCACGTGGCGCATCTGGCGCACCAGGCGTGCCTGGCACGCTCGGGCCCCAGGGGTGCTTGGCGCGCGTGGCGTCCCTGGCACGCGTGACGCACCTCGCCCAAGCGTCGCGAACCTGGGGTCGGCTTTGGTTCCCAGTAGCTGTCCATCCAAAGACGACCGCTGAACATGCTCAGGCTCGGGTGCTACTTATGTGTTGGGAGGGCGGGTGGGAGTGAGATAGACGCCTTAGGGGGCGGGTGGGTAGCTTGACTCCTCACCCCTACCCCCTCCCCTGGACCTGGACGGGGTGTCCCGCGAGGTATCAGAGGGTACTTTTGCGCCCAAGGTGGCTCCGAGAGGGCCTCAAAGAGCCCAAGATGACCTCCAAGATGGCTCAAGATAGCCCAAGATGCCTCAAGATGGCTCCCAAGATGCTCATAGAGGCCCCAGCAACGTTCCAAGACGGCTCCAAGAGGCCTCCGAGACCTCCAAGGAAGCCCCCAAGAAGCACAATAGGAGCTCGACCACAAGAAACCATCCACGAGAAACCCAACCCTGAGGCACCAGGCCGTCCCCTGGCAAAACCATCGAAACCCAGGAAACCCAGGGCACCCTGGAGGCAAGCAGGGTGTTTTTTGGCATGGGCTTCCATCGTAAGGACACATCGAGAATCTCTGAGATCTGGCGGATCTGGAGGATGTCTCGGGCGCCGCGGCCCTCTCAGAGCGTTCCAGAACGCTCTGAGAGCGTTCTGCAGGCAGGAGGAGAAGGAGGAGGTGGAGGAGGAGCGGGGAGGAGGAGGGAGGGAGGGAGGAGCAGAAGGAGGACGAGGAGGACAAGAGCGGGAGGGAGGGAGAAAGGGAGGAAGGGAGGAGGGAGGGAAAGATGAAAGAGCAAGGTCGGGGAAGGGCTCGAAGCGAAGCGAACGCCTGAGTCGTGCGTGCTCCATTGAGGAGCTCGCCCGTGCCCATGAGCGCACGGCGTGGAGGGGATGGGAGGGGAGGGCAGGGAGGGAGGAAGAAGGGGGAGGTGGAGGACGAGGAGGGCAAGAGAAGGAGGGGGGAGAAGGAGGGGGAGGGAGGATGGAGGGAACGATGGAAGAGCAAGGTCGGGGAGGGAAGGGGAGGACAGGGGGCCTCTTGGGGGCCCCTTTGGGGCCTGCTGGTGGTCTCGGGGGACGTCTAAAGTTAAAAGCGACAGTATGTCCAGTGGATGCGCGATAAGGATGCAAGTCCCTTAGACGTAAGATGACGGAGCTTTGCGAACTTGGCTCGCCATCGAAAGTGATTCAGGGTGGAACGAAAGAGCAAGGATGCAGGGGCACCCTTGGGAAGGCTACCCATCCTTCAATCGATTTCGACTGTACCCCCTCTGGGGCCTCTCTTTCGATGATTCTCAGAACGTGTGTTAGCGACAACGTGCGCTGGTCCACCGAAGCCCTTCATCACGACGCAGGCGGTGCAACGATGGCCGACACAGGCCGAACGGAGCAAACACACATGTCCGGAGGAAGATCGACTCTTGGAACCCCGTTGGCCGGCTACCCGCAAGAGTGACCCTGAGTAGGAGTGACCTTTGGTGCGAGGCTCTTGGGGGGCCGCGGGGGGACCAGGCACAAGCGCGCAAGACACTACTGTCGCATCGCGCTCAGCGAGGTCACCAAGAGGGTCACTCCAAGAGGGTCCCGCGCTTCGCTGCGGGACCCAAGAGGGCCCGCACCGGAGGCCACTCCAGGGAAGTGTCACTCTTGCGTGTGGTCGAATTGGGCCTCTCTTTGGGCAGGGAGGGACGAGGAGGAGGGCCCGGAGGACCACGCCGCCGGCGCAGCGGACTGCTGCCGCCCGCGCCCCGAGGGGCGCGCGCGCGCGCGGGCCCGCGCCACAGCCCTCGGGGCTCTCGCGGGCGTGGCTGCGCCTGCCGCCGGGGCCGCCGCCGTCGTCGCCGCCGCAACCGCAGCCGCCGCCGCCGCCGCCGCCGACGCCGCCGCCGCCGCGCCGCCGCCGCGCCGCCGCCGCCGCCGCCGTCGTCGCCGTCGTCGTCGTCGCAGACGCCGCCGCCGTCATCGTCCTCGTCGTATTCGTCGTCGTCGTCGTCTGTCGTCGTCGTCGTCTGTCGTCTGTCGTCTGTCGTCTGTCGTCGTCGTCGTCGTCGTCGTCGTCGTCGTCGTCGTCGTCGTCGTCGTCGTCGTCGTCGTCGTCGTCGTCCGTCGCCCATCGTCCGTCGTCCGTCGTCCGTCGTCAGTCGTCCGTCGTCAGTCGTCCGTCGTCCGTCGTCAGTCGTCCGTCGTCCGTCGTCCGTGATCCGTCGTCCAGCGTCGTAGTCGTCGTCGTCGTCGACTCTCGTCGTCGTCGCGTTTGCGCCAGCCGTCTGTAGCCTAGGCTGTTGGGGGAGAAGAAGGCGGGTGAAAAGGAGCACAACGACTGAACTCAAAAAACATACTAACCCTCCATGGAAACAGGCGCATAAAAAGTAGACACACGACTTCACCACGGAAAAAAAAACACCTCCGCCCTCACGAGTGACAGCTGCACCGCGCCAGCCGCCCATCACGGCGGGACGGAACCCTCTGGACCCCGAGAAACGCCCACGCCGGGGAGCGCAGCATGGGGCTCAAAAATGTTCGGACTGGACAACAGCAGCGGCAAAGATGTGGCCATGCCTCGGAGATCTCTCGCCACGGGCTGGCATCATTAACTATTCGTCAACATGCCTGCGAGCACACAACGACATGGTGCCAAGCCTGAGCACCTGACCAGCATACTGCTGCTTGGCGCCCACGGGAACCTGCGTGCCCTGATGTTGTTGGAACACTGCACTCGAGCAATCGGGATGTTACCAGTGAGAGGAGCCCTCTGTGTGAAGGCCTGTCAACAACAACGACAACAACAACAACAACGACGACGACGACGATGACGACGACGGCGGCGGCGGCGGTGGTGGCGGCGGCGGCGACTGCAGCAGCGGCAGCAGCGGCAGCGACGGCGGCGGCGGCGACGACTGCGCTGGCCGTGCGACCATGAAGGGGCCCTGGGACACGCAAATAAACAGACACGAATAGCAGGATTCCCACCATACTTTCCCACATTTTCTGGGCTTTCGTCTTCCCCCCTCCCCGCTTCCCATAGTTTCCCATATTTTGGGGGGGAGTCGGCGATGAATTGTGTCTGTGTGTTTTTGCCCCTGAAGCGGCCAGTCTCGGGCCAGGTGAAAGGGGGGGATAGCAAAGGGGGGGTTTGAGAATCAGCTCACGGAGCTGATTTTCCCGGCGCCGCCCGGCGCCAGACGCGGCTATGTATCGAGGAATGGGCCCCTCGGTGGGGCCGACACCAGCTGCATGCAGCAGATTTCGTATCCCCCCCCCTTTCCCAATCCCCCCCCCCTGTCGTCCGGCCCGACAGTCGGCGGCGGCCGCGATCCCGCGGGCGGCGGCGGCGGCCGGACGCGCCGCGCCTCGGCCGCGGCGGCCCCGCCGCGCCGCCGGGGGCCCTCGGGGCCCCCTCAGCGGAGCTGCGGCGCCGGGGCCGCGGCGGCTCGCCCGACCTCGGAGGCGGGACGAGGCCAGGGGCCTCCTCCTCCTGCTCCTCCTCCTCCTCCTCCTCCTCCTCCTCCTCCGCCTCCTCCTCCTCCTCCTCCTGCTCCTCCTCCTCCTCCACCTCCTCCACCTCCTCCTCCTCCTCCTCCTCCTCCTCCTCCTCCTCCTCCTCCTCCTCCTCCTCTCCGCCTCCTCCTCCACCTCCTCCTCCTCCTCCCTCCTCCTCCTCCCTCCTCCTCCCGCCTCCTCCTCCTCCTCCTCCTCCTCCTCCGCCTCCTCCTCCTCCTCCTCCTCCTCCTCCTCTCCTCCTCCTCCTCCTCCTCCCCCTCCTCCTCCTCCCTCCTCCTCCTCCTCCTCCTCCTCCTCTGCTCTCCTCCTCCTCCTCCTCCTCCTCTCCTCCTCCTCCTCCTCCGCCTCCTCTCCTCCCTCCCCTCCTCCTCCTCCTCCTCCTCCTCCTCCTCCTCCTCCTCCTCCTCCTCCTCCTCCTCCTCCTCCTCCCTCCTCCGGATATGCGCCACGAAGAACAAATTCACGGACACCCTGCGACGAATCTTGCATGTACCTTCGGGGAGGGCGGCGGTGTATGAAGTCGCTGGCTCCCCGAGGCATGATTTGTACACCGCCACCCTCCCCTGAGGCCCAGGATCAGTCCATTGCAGGGCGTCTGTGCATACATCTTTGTGGCGGAGGATCTCGGGATGAGTCGGGGATCTCTGAGAGGAGTCTCCTCCTCGGCCGCGAGCTGCCCTGCCAGGTATTTTCACAGCAGGTTCCGCCATGGGCGGTTTCTTCTTAACCCCATGCTGCTTTCCTCGGCCTCTGGCCGAGGACGTGCAGGGTAGAGGCACCCTGTCGCCAACATCCGCAGATGGAAGATCTCGGAGAGCCGGGGGGCCTGGAGGACGCATCGGGCATAGCGGCCGCTGCAGGAGCGCGCCCGGAGCGCTCGGAGAATCGTTCCGGAACGCCCTGGAGCGATGCGTCCCGACCCTGCGCCTGCCTGGCGAGGTCCGAGAGGGGAGCAAAGGCGGCGACGGCGGGATGGCGGTGGCGGGACGGCGGTGGCGGCGGCGGAACCCCGGGGGCCGCTCTGACTGTCGAGGGGAGGGGGGTCCAGGATCGAAGATCGAGGCTTCTGGCGCCTTTGACCCGCCTCGCCCCCCTCCAGATGCCCGCAGAGTGCGTGCAGACGACCCTGGGGACCTCTGAAGACGCCTGGGGCCCCCTGGGGACTTCTGGAGATCTTTGACTCGATTTGAACGTGGCTCAGTTAGCGTCGAGTCCCAAGTCCCTGGCAGCTGCAGTCGCGCAGCGCGGAGAGAGGGGGCCGAGCGAGGGCCAGCGCTTTTTCTTGGGTCTCCGGGAAGGCCCTCTTCGCCGCAGCTGGGCTCGGCCACTCGCACCCGAGGGTCCACAGATCGATTCGGCTCGCGACACGAGCGACGAAGAGGGGGTCGAAGGTCGAGATCTCCTGGCCATCGCTCGGACGTCCATTCTCTGTGTTTTTTGTTCGGTTTCGTGCGCAGTTTTTCGCCAAATGATCAAGGATGCTCCTCGATGGTCCTCGTCGAAGGAAAAAATGCACACGTCCGAGCGATGCCAAGTCTCTGAGGGAGCGCGGTCGACCGTCGCTTGACCAGGAAAGAATCCCCCCCTCCAATCCAGGAAACGGGGGGAAGGGAAATCCGCCGCCCCCCCCCCCTTCCCCGGGAACCAAGGGGGAAGGGGGTTCGAACCGCGGGGGCGGGGCGCGGTTCGAACCGGCTGTAATCGAATCCTGCCGCCAAAGCTGGATCCAGCTAGAACGTAATCCTACTACGAGGGCTCGATCAACCTCGACTAGAAACCTACAAAAGCTCGATCCAGCTCGAATCGAATCCTGCCACTAGGGCTGGATCCAGCTCCAATAGAATCATACAAAGGCTCGGTCCAGCTCGAATCGAATCCTGCTACGAGAGCTGGATCTAGCTCCAAAAGAATCCGACTAGAGTTCGATCTAACTATAATGGAACCAGATCATGGGCTGGATCCAGCTCAAACAGGATCTTACGAGTGCTCGATTCGATTCTAATCGGATCCTACTATGGTCTGGATTCAGCTCTGATAGAATCCCAGTAGGGCTCGCTATTAGGGCTCAACCCAGTCTTGATACAATCCTACTAGGGCCCGATCTAGCTGTGATGAAATCCTAGAGAGGCTAGGTCCAACTCTCGTGGAATCCACCTAAAAATGGATCCAGATGTAACGGAAAGTGCCCCCCCTGGCCTGAACCGGGGGGGGGGCTCTGAACCCCGCACCCCCCCCTTTCGTGGGGGCCTCTGGGGACTTCTGGAGATCTTTGTTCTTTTTAGCGTGGATTAGCGTCAAGCCCCAATTCCCTGGCAACTACAATCGCGCAGCGCAATCGCGCAGCGCGACGAGAGGGGATCGAGCGAGGGCCAGCGCTTTCGTAGGTCTCTGGGAAGGCCCTCTTCGCCGCAGCTGGGCTCGGCCCCTCAGATCCCAAGAGGGGTGGGCTTGCCAATAGGGGCAGAAACCATTATTTTCAAGTCTTTGGCCGTGCTTTGTTCGCACGATGCCAGGAAATCGTCGGCTCGCGGAGGGCCGCCTCCCCGTACCTCCGAGCGATTTTGATGTTTCCGATCCAGCCCAGAGGGCTGGTGTTTTCTTATTCCCCCCCGGGCCCCAAAGGTATCGACACCTTCCCTAAGGAGAACTCTTCGTCCCAAATCCACTGCTGATGGCTCTGGGCCCCAAAATGGGCCCAAGGCCAGAACCAAAGGAAAACGCCAGGATGGCAGAGGAAAACTGCACCGCGCGAGAAAAACGACACGGCAACGCTGCACGAGAACGCTCATGGCGAGTCGACAGCGAGGCGTCTGTGGAGTGGCTGGGCTGCGTGGTTGCGCATGGCTGGCAGCCTAGAAACCGAGCATTACCAGCCTGGAACATATCCCTATCCCTATGCTGGGCATCGCCTCATCACGATGCCAATCTCAGGGATTCCCTTAGGTTTTGTGGGCGCATCCCTAAGATCGTCATCGCCTTTTGGCGTGTCAATCTTAGGGATAGGGATAAGTTCGAGGCTGGTGAGAGCGCGGCACGCCACGCCACCAGTCCTGCGTTCCGGGATTCGGGGGCACGCGCGCGGCACGCGCACGCGCACGGCACGGCACGGCACGCCCCCACTTCCCTACCCCATGCTTCGACAACGAGCACGGCACGCGCCCGCGGCCATGGCACGGCACGTGGGCACAGCACGGCACCCTCTTCGCACGGCAGGAGCTCGTGCACGCCACAGCACGCGCACACGGCGCGGCACGCGGGCAGGGCACAGCACAGCACCTCATTCGACACGGCACCTTCTTTCGCAGCCTAGAGATCGGGCACGGCGCGGCACGCACAAAACACGGCACGCGGACACGGCACGGCACGGCGCAGCACTTGTTCCGCACTCGAGCACGGCATGGGTACACGCACCGCACACTACGCGGGCATGGTACGGCACGGCACGGCACGGCACGGCACGGCACGGCGCATTTTCGCACTCCAAGGACCAAGCACGGCACGGCACGGTGACCAAGCACGGCACGGCACGGCACGGCACAGCACAGTTTGCGCATTCTGAAGACCAAGCACGGCAAGCACGGCACAACACACTCTTCGCAGTCTAAGACCAAGCACAGTACGGCACGGCACATTTCTTTCCATAACCGTCGTCTCCGCCGTGATCGCCATCGCAACGGCTCCAAACCACACCCACGGCCGCGCCGTGCGGCGGTTGGTGTGTGCGTGTGTGTTGGAGCCCGCTGCTTCGTGCAGTACCTCCCCGAATACTCCTATTCGGGGAGGTACCCTCCAAGTCCCCTGCGTTCCCTGCCTTCCGCAGAGACACGGGGCCGAACACGGAATTCACGGTGGGGGGGTCTGTGGCCATTTCTTCCCCCCTCAGAGCCGCCTTCCCTCCCTCCCCCGCACACCGACCAAAGCAGTGGCGGATACTCGCGGCAGCGCAACTGAATCGCCGACGTCAGCATCGGCGTACGGATATCGTCAATTGCCTACGTGTCGTCATCCTCACCAGCGTACCATTCATCATCATCATCATCATCATCATCATCATCATCATCATCATCATCATCATCATCAGCAGCAGCAGCAGCAGCAGCAGCATCATCATCATCAGCATCATCACCACCGTCATCATCACAATCAGCACCATCAACACCACCATCAGCACCATCGGCATCACCATTATCATCGCCGTCCTCCTCCTCATCCCCTCCTCATCATCATCACCTCAAGCACCACAACCACAACCATCACGACCACCATTATCACCATCATCATCGCCGTCTTCACCACCGTCATCATCATCGTCATCATCACCGTCATCATCCTCATCACAATCACCATGACCGTCACGATTATCACCATCATCACCACCATCACCACCATCACCACCATCACCATCACACCCTTCATCTTCATCAGCATCAGCAACATCAGCACCACCATCATCAGCACCTCTGTAATCGCATTGTTTCGTCCGTCCTCGGGCCCGTAATGCCTGGCTGGAACCGCTCTCCATCCACGAATGGCCGTCACACCCGCGCGGCGGGGCGCTGACACAACAGGGTGCGCCGGACCATCGGGCAACCGTTGCGGCTGCACCGCGTTGTTAGGGCTCCACGCTGGAGCCCAACAACGTAACAACGTGTTGGTCCTCCATCTCCCGTTTTCCTACTACACGCAACCGGCAACCAACGTTAGTCGTCCACCTTCAGAAACGACGCCGCTGCAACGGCGGAGGTGGGTTTCACACGGCTGTCTTTGTTGATTACCCGGTTCTTCCTTCCACAAGCTGCGCACTCATCGCGCGTCGCGCTCTTAGATGGAGATTCACCTCTGCTGGCTAGGCTCCAGGTGTCCCTCGTATGCTAGCGGTGTCGCCAAGCAGTCAATAGGCTCTGCCTTGCCATCTACCTGGCGCCACTGTGCCAGCAACTTCGTGTGATCGACCTCGTGGTTTCCTGGTGCGCAGTCTCGCGCTCTCAAGTTGGCTACCAGCGCTATGTGTTACATTGTTTTGGTTTTTCGTGGCGGGCTTCATCAGGGAGGGCGTCATCGAGGGTTTCCTGGCCGTGGCGTGCTTCATTGTGGAGTGATGCATCGTGGAGGGTCTCTTCGGGGGTGCTTCATTGTGGCGCGCTTCAGCGGAAGCCTGCTTCATTGGGCTTGCTTCACTGTAGCGTACCTCAAACAGGCGTGCTTCCCGGAGTGCTTCACCGAGGAGCATTTCACAAAGGAGAGCTTCACCAGGGAAAGCTTCACCAAGGAACGGTTGGCCAAAGAATGCTTCCCAGGGAATGTTTCACCAAGGAGTGCTTCGGCGTTGACTGCGTCATCGTGGAGTGCTTCACCGTCATGGGCGGCTTCATCGTGGAGTTTCTCATCGAGGAGTGAGTGCTTCATCGAGAAGTGTTTCATCATGGAGGTGCTTCATCAGGCGTGGTTCATCGTGACGTGCTTCATCGTAGCGTGCTTCCTGGAGGCCTGCTTCACGGAGGCGTGCTTCATCAAATCCCTACTTTTCTGGGTGATGACGTGAGGTGGGTCATCATCTCCGTAGTCGCCTTGCTTCGTCCGTCCCCGGGCCCGCACTGCCTGGCTGGAGTCGCCCTCCATCCACGAGTGGCCGTCACACCCGCGCGGCGGGGTGCAGACACAACAGGGTGTGTCGGACCATCGGGCAACAGTTGCGGCTGCACCGCGCGGTTGCGGTTCCACGTCCGAGCCAGACAACATGCTGGCTCTTCATTCACTGTACGCCCAACTATAAGCAACCGATGATCATCATCATCATCATCATCATCATCATCATCATCATCATCATCATCATCATCATCCTCATCATCATCCTCATCCTCATCCTCATCCTCATCCTCATCCTCATCATCATCCTCATCCTCATCCTGCTCATCATCATTATCTGCATCATCATCCTCATCAGCAGCATCAGCATCAGCATCAGCATCAGCATCAGCATCATCATCACCATCACCATCAGCATCACCATCACTACCATCATCATCATCATCATCATCATCATCATCATCATCATCATCATCATCATCATCATCATCATCATCATCAAAATCATCATCATCATCATCATCATCATCAGTATCACCATAACCATCACCATCATCAACATCATCAGCAGCAGCATCAGCATCAGCATCAGCATCAGCATCAGCATCATCATCATCATCATCATCATCATCATCATCATCATCATCAACAACAACATCATCACCACCACCACCACCAGCAATAACACGCCAATTCGGTCTGATTCGAAGCAACATTTCGCACTGCCAGGCCTTGCCGCGCCGCGAGCTGATCTCGGGCTGGTGGACCGCCTCCGGGAGGCGCCCAACCAGCGACAAGGGAGAGCGCGAGACGCCCTGTCTAGAAGACGAGAACCCTGCATAAGCATACGTACTCTTTCGGAAGTCCCCGCAGATTTCTTGGATCAACGCTGGACCCCCTCCACGGTGCGCGGAGCGCCCATGGGCGGCGCCGGAGGCGTCGCCGGTGGGTCCAGCGGGAGTCTCTGAAAGTTTTGTGCATGCCGACGTTGATGTTCTTCGACTGCTCTACCCTTCCCGGGAGAGAAGGGAACTCATCACCACTATAGAGGCCTCCCAGATGGGGTCCGAGTAGATGGGGTCGGAGGATCGCGCCGCATCGGCGATGCATCGACGATGCATCGACGATGCATCGGCGACGTCGGCGGTGCATCGGCGACGCTGGCGTGGAGGAGATCGGGCTCCACATCGTGCCGCATTGCCGATGCATCGGCGATGCGGCGCAACCCTCCGACCCCATCTGCTCAGACCCCGTCTGGGAGGCCCAGATCGACTGCTCGACCCCTCCCAGGGAGAAGGCAACTCGGCAGCACCGCACGGAGGGTGCAGACTCTGCCGAGCCGCCGTCGGGACTGCAGGCGTGCAAGACGGCTGGCGCAGGTGCCCCAAACCCCAAACCCCAAACCCTAAGCCCTAAACCCGCCAACACCGCCTCCGAACCCGCACTCCGCCCGCTCGTCCTGCCTCCGCCCGTCCCTACCGGACCAGCGGAAAGCAAGGGGAACCCACGCCGCGGCCTCCGCGTAAGCCGCCGGCGTGGCACGCTGCGCTGGCCACGGGGGCGCCCGCGCGCGGCCTGCCGCGGGCAGCCTGCGCGCGCAAGGCCGGCGCAGCCGAGCCCGTTTGGCTGCGTCGCTCACCTTTCTGGTCGTTCGGGGGAAGCGAAGTCCACAAGGAGTAGGCCCGGACGGAGGCCGAGCACTCCGTGCGGGCCTGCTCCGTATGGACGCCGCTGGGTGTGGTCCTACCGGGCGAGGCCAAGTCCGGACCGAGCAAGCCCAGGCAGCAGCAGGCAGCGACGGCATCATCAGT